TTGAATTTGGAATTCTCATCGCGCTACGTTTGTCACCAGCAGATGTGTATAGGCTTGAAGAGATCAAAAATTTCATCAAAGATGTGAGCGAGCTGCCATGGACATGGTAATAATACCTATCATAGCTCGAGAGATGATGTTCTTGGAATACCCCGCAACGACCCCAACCCCAATGTGGTTTCAATTCTGGTTAATATTTTTAAGGCCTTCAAGTATGGAAAGGGCCTCGGCCAACATGGAGTCTGCGTGATCAATATGTTTGGATAAGGAAAATGGGGGGACCCATAGTTACCCAAATCTGTCACCAAAGGTCGCTATTCTAATTTGAATCCCCAATTCGGCAATTCTGATAAGGAATCTTCACCAAACCCATTTTCATGAATCTCGATTCCAACACTTATAGAATCTCATTTCTAATATTTATTGATTCTCGATTCCTCAATTGGTGAATCTCAATTCTACACTTGTTGAAACTAGTTTCTATAAATAGCAATAATCGCTTCGATTGTTTTTTATTCCAGATTCCTGAATAAGAAGTATTGTCACAGATGCAAGAAACAACAAACTAATCAAACATGGAATGTTGTTTCCACCCTCATAGAACCTTGATCCTTTTTTTTTTTTTGGAATCGTAATACCACAAAATCAAATACTTATATTCTAGGTGCATAAATGTGTGACTTATAAATTGGCTTAAATATCTATGGATTTTGATTTGAGTTATTTGGAAACCAAAACTGGAGACGATTATCTTCTATAGTTCATGTGTGCTATGAACAATAATCCAATGAATGCATTACTGAAGTTAATCAACATTCAAATGCAAAAGTCTAGAATTCAGTTCTTAATGAGTTTCATTCCAATGTTTTTTGAAGATAACAATGGTAATTATAACTTCTTTTGCCGAGCCTTGGAGTATTAAAATGTGATAACTTGAATGTTAAAAAATGAATACTCCATGCCTTCACCCGTAATACCACAGGCACATATCCCTAATGTTTGCTGGAATTCTACCACTTCTTTTTTTCTTTTTGCTTTTTTTGTAGAAGTGATGTTTAGAAGTTTTCAAGGCATCGACCTAGTCGAGCTAGACATTAATCTCAAACTACAAGGCGTAGTCATCTTTTTTGGCATGAAATGACTAATAGAAGCCAAAGTGGTGGTCCACTTGCTTTGCTTAATTCTTTAAGGATGCATTGTATTGGTCCAATAGGTAATTTCTTACTAACTACTAAATTTGTCAATATTTATTCATGTGTTTGCTTAACGCTTTATGATAAGGGGGTTGCAATTCTCGATTGTTAGATGGGTCAAAGAATCCAAACTGCTATGAATCTCGATTCCAATCTGGGTCGAATTTCAATTCTAAGCTGGTACGAATCTCGATTCCAAAGATGTCAGAATCTCGATTCCATCCGATTCTATAAATGAAGGAATCTTGATTCCATATTGGTCAATTTCAAATAGGTTGGAAACTCGATTCCATAGAGATATGAATCTCAATTCCATCTATATAGGGATATTGATTCCATTTTGGTTGAATTTCAATTCTTAAAAAATAGGAATCTCATTTACCACAATTCCTCTTGTTTGGACGTCGATTCCGAAAACATGAATCTTCTAGCCGGTCGTGATTCTATGATTTCGATTCAGATTCAGAATCGTTTCCAATAACTATGCTATGGGTGGACCCCTGATCATCATTATTATCATCCGAGCCTTATCGCAACTATTTGGGTTCGGCTTCACAAATCTTGTTCTGCCATGTCGCTCTATCAAGGTTTATAGCCTCAGTGAGGCCATAAGTCACCATATCTCTTTACACAACTTCTATCCATGTCTTTTTGGGCCTTATCCTTTCCCTTTTAGAGCCGTTCACTTGAACCAAATCACCCCGCTTAAATAATGTTGTTCTAGGTCGACACAGCACATGGCCAGACCACCCATGTCTATTCCCATGTCCAATTGAAGAGCTGCAGCAAATTCCCTCACGTGGCCCATGCCATGTTGCAATGAATGAAGAGGTGTGTGTTAGTTTCTTCTCCTTATTTGTACATATTTCACATGTTTGGTACTGGCAAACACCTTTTTTGAAGTGGGTCCCCCATCAGGGCTCTCTCTGGTATAGCTATTTAACTTAATACTTGGATCTTTGGGGAAATGGAGTTGTGTCAGGTTCTAGAACTAAGGGTAGGCGGAGTTGGAGGAAACGTTGGAGCTGCTGCAACTTCCAATAGAGAATGAAGACACCATGAACTTACCAGAACCAGCTGGCATCCAAACGATTATATCTTCATTTGTAACAAGGAGGAAGGTTGATTGTAGGAGGGAGGAGAGGGACTTAAAGTCGGAGAGCTCTTGGTCCGAGAGGGACTTTTGAAGTAAGGCTTTCAAGTTTCAAATGCTCAAGTTGCTAAAGACTTCGAATTGGTCAGCCACTGTAGCCTGAAGATCTAGTGATAGCAGGAGCAAGGCAGGCACGAAATCACTCCCGTAGGGTGGAATTCCCAATCTAAAGGCTGCCCCAAAATTTTGCTTTATTACATGTCCTAAGCTGAGATGTAATGTTTTCTTTGAAGAGATGTTAGCAGATAGTAAACTGTGCCAAGCCCCAGAGGACAAAGCTCCACCATTTGTGGAAACCGTGTCAAACCCTGGGAAACTAGGCAGAAGCCTTGGAACAGTAAACTGCGGATAGTAAAGTAGCGGATAGTAAACTGCACCAAACCCTTGGAAACTAGGCAGAAGCCACACAACAGTAATTGTGGCAGATGACCTCTTTCTAGAGATGGTCTTCCTGGGTAGCAAAGTTCCACCATTTTCTGAGGAGGACAAAGCTGCATCTCCGAAGGCTACAGATGCCAAGGCCACCTTTCTCTTTGGATAGGCAACCAGCCCTACAATATTAGGTGGAATTTCTCCCCAACCCCCATCCCCACCCAACAAAAAAAAAAAACAAGGGGACTAAAGAAAATTCCTCATAAGTCATGAGTCATTCAAGGCGGGCCACTATGGTTGATGGCATTTGGAATAGTGACTTCTGATAAACAGGGACAGGCGAGAGGGGAATGCCTTAATAAGAGTGATATGGCCCGCTATAGATAGGAACCTGCCTTTCCAAGCAGTGAGTTTCGCGGTCGAATTTTTCAATGATAGGGTTCCAGAGCTGCAACTTTGGTTTGTTGATAGACAAGGAAAACCTAAATATTTGGAGCACAGCTGATCCACCCCACAGCAAAGTTGACCAGCAAGGTCATGGACAACCTGGGCCTCAGTTGCAGCTCCCATCAACTCAGATTTAGCTGTGTTGACCCTTAAGCCGGAGGCTAGTTGGAAGCATTTGAGATAGAGGAGCAGGGTGCCAACCTGTTGATGGGTTGCATCACAAAAGAGGAGGGTGCCATTGGCATACTTGAGATGCGAGATTAATGGACTTCTGTTGCCGATACGAAAACTTCTCAAGAGACCTTGCTGGTACTGCTTATTTGCAAAAGACCTCGGCCACAACAGCGAATTAGAAAGGTGAGGGGGAGTCACCTTGGCTCCCTCTAGAAGAGGGAAGAAACCTTTAGCGGAGCCATTAGTAAGGATGGGAAATGCAACCAGCATCCAGGCCCTCCAACGATCTCTGAATCCCATCCTGAGGAGGGTCTTGTCCAGAATGGCCAGCCAACATGGTCGTAGACCTTCTCTCAATTAAGTTTGATCACTATCTATGGGATTTGTGAGAGGTGCCATGGGTGATGCACTCATGGGCTACTAGAGCCCCATCCTGGATCTATCAATTCTCGACAAAGCACCTGGTTCAGGGAAATAACCCAAGAAAGAAAGTCTCATAGGAGGGAGGCAAGGACCTTGGAGAGGATTTTGTAGGAGCTGTTGTGCAGGCTAATGTGCCTATAGTCTTTGAGGTCTTCTGCCCCTTCCAATTTTGGGACCAGAGTTATGAAGCTCGCGCTCATGGACCCTGGATATTGCCCCTGGAATGGAATTTGTGGAAAAACGAGGTGAGATCAGGTCTGGACGAGTCCCAGAAGATACTAAACAAGGCTAAAGAAAACGTTTGGGGCCTAGGGCTCGATCTTGGCGAAGTTCCTTGATGGCTCTAAGGATCTCTTCAGAAGAGAAGGGGCGTTCGAGCCCCAATAGACTTGTTGAATATTGTATTTGAGTTCAGACTTTTGCAATTCTTATCTAATAACAATCATCCCAGAAATGGCTTACTATATATATCTCACTATCTATAATTTTATCCATTAGTCTCGTGTCACTCTAATAAACATTTGTTCGATGCGGGCATTGTGATGCCTTCGGAACACCTAGGGGTACAATAGGGTGTGGTGAGCAATTGATTTTCCATGAGGAATTGCCTGCAGAAAACTATGTGAATGTTAAAAGTTTGGGAGAAGAATTTTGCCTACCAATAAGGTCGTGTAACTAAAGATTTGAAAAGAATATGACCTTGAAAAATATAGTTCCTTGCAGAGTCCCTTATCTGCCTTAATTCATTTGAGGCTTGTCAAGCCTATCATTATTAATGTTGATGATTATATTATTCTTCGTGCCTTTCCTTTTGTTACCTTTCCTCGCTGTGACTATTCACATTAAGGAGGTTTTTATGTTTTTTATATTATTTGGAAAAGAATATGACCTTGAAAAATATAGTTCCTCGCAGAGTCCATTATCTGCCTTAAATCATATGTAGCTTATCAAGCCTATCATTATAAATGTGGATGATTATTATTCTTCATGCCTTTGCTTTTGTTACCTTTCCTCGCTGCGACTATTCACATTAAGGAGCTTTTTATCTCTTTACATTATGGGTAACCTGGCATTGATTTGTTTGTAGTGTAGTGTAGTGTTCTCAACTATTTTTTTCAATGAAGGTGTTATAAGGCTATTAAGTGATGGCTCTTTTTATTTGTTTAAGTCGAGTTTTTTTCTTCTACCTGACTTCCGTCAACCTTAGACTGTCTGGTACTTTCACCTTTTGTGAGCAGGGAGTAAAGGAAGAGCTTATTGTAGATCTTGTTGAACAGTGCAAGGCTTATCAAAAACAAGTCATGCTTTTGGTGAACAGTACATCGTATGGATAATCTCCTATTCTTACCCTAGTTTTCACAATCATAGGTGCTGCAATCGATTGTAACTGTTGCTTTATCTTACAGAGATGAAGAACTTCTCAGTCAGGGTCTAATGCTGAATGACGAGCTGCAGTGTGTGCTATGTAAGCATGATGGACTTTTGAAAGGGAGTTCCATAAATGGCGAGCAAATCCTCACATCAAAACCATTAGTCAATGTTGATCACGAGGAAGATGAGAGTGAAGATGATTTAGCCCATCTAACTCATAGGTACATAAAATATGTTGTGGTTACATTCTGTTTTATTAAGCAATATTTGTGACAGTTTGTCACATGAATGTATTCATTATTAAGGCATGATGGATGGTTTTAAATTTTAGGATGTTTCCATGGTTTCATTACACGTTCTTGTCCTGTTAAATGGAATCAGATTTTGCATTTCAAAACATCATGACACTTAAGAGTATATCAAGTTATGCATCACATTAGGGGAAAATGCCAATTTCTATGGTAATGCATAAGTAAGATGTTCTTGTTCATGCTCTCTGCACCACCTTGGTTTTATTTGTTTTGTCCAAATTAAGCTTATTGCCTGTGTGGTTTTCCGCTCAGCTCCTTGGTAATAATTTTCCATCTAGCAAGCAGTGATCCATTTTGAACCGTTGATCATTTCTTTCTTGTTATTCCAGGTCTTCAAGAGAGAATGCGCAAGGGCAGAGTAGGAGGCCTGTCAATGTGAAAAACGAGCCTGTTGCTATCAGTCCACTCTTACCTCCACCATCATCATTGCACAAGGTACTACTCCCAGCACAATCACCACAGAAGGTTGGTCGTAGTGGTAGAACAACTGATTATCTCAGTGGAGATGTTTACGAATCTAAAGCACCAGAACAACCTCAGCAATCTGAACCCACTTCAACACCCTCAGTGCCTACACAAAATTTATCTTCTCAACCCTGGAAAGAGGAAAGATCTGAGGATGCTTTTCAGTTTTCACCATTCAAAAGAGAGATGCATGGGCAAGATGAGAGCTTTAAGACTGGAGATAGCAGTGCAAAGACCCCTGCCACCTCTTCGGAGGTGCCAACTACGTCTTTGCCACCTCCTCCATCCAAGTATAATCAGAGGCAACAGTTCTTTGAACAGCATCAACAGGGTTTACCAGAAGGAACATCTAACAACGCGGTTCGTTTGGGCCATTCTTATGATGGATTAATAGGAAGGACCCAAAATCTCTCTCTTAATCTTGAGGACGACAGCTCCTCAAAGGAGGCACAGTACTCTTCAGGTACAAAGAACTTATCTCAGCCTGCTAAACAGATGAAGCCTGAGGACAAGATCTTCAAAGACCTGTTTGATTTTGCAAAGGCCAAGTCTTCTCCATCTGCCAAACCTGGAAGCCTCTAGGGCATCATGCTATCAAAGTACATGTTGACTGGATTTTTGTTTAGCCTTACACACTGGCTACTGCCGTAGACAGATGGATTACAGTGTTTGCTGTATTTTATCGTACATATGTGGCATTCTTGTGTTTTCAGTCATGGTTTGGTATACTGGATCGATGTTGATTTATGTTTTGGTAGTACACCCAATCTTACCAGTGCTGGGATTCAAAGTCTTGAACAAGTTTGGTGATGCTTATGAGGCCAAATAAGAGAATGATCTTAGACTGCATGTCGATAGTTGAAGTGTGAGAATAATAAGGGAGTAACAAATTTCTGGTGCCAATAAATGGTCTCTGATTTTTGTTTTGTCGTATTAGTTATAAATTCACTTTCTTTTGTATCATTTTCATCAATTCAATCCAGTTAGTAAGAGCTCTTGTAGTTCAAAGTTCAAATGTTGGTGTTATATGGTTGGGTTCTAGCTCATAGTTCAGTTAGGATCGTAATGTTGTGGTTGTAGTTTTAATTTCGCCCCACCTATTTGAATGAAACTGGGGGAAAAGGACATGGCTGAATGCTGAGCAATAAAGTTAAGTTATAATCACTACTTATATATATTGAAGGGCAAGCTTTTATGTACTTCTACTGTATAAAACATATCTACTTCTCTTTATCCAACTATCCATTCTGAATAGGCGGTTGAGATGGTCTCAATCACAATGTTATGTTTTTATATTATTTTATTTTTAATTTTGTTTTACAAAAATATTTGACATCAAATTTTGGGCATCCACTCCTCTATTAAACGTGCACTTTTGAAAAAAATAAAAATAATATTCCGAATAAATATAATTATTGAAATGCTCAAGAAAATTTCAGAAGTATTTTGATAAGTACATTTTATAAAAAATAAATTCAAATATTTTATTTAGGTGCACTCTATTAAGATGAAGGTACATATCAAATTTCATATTCAAATGTTTTTGAAAAAAATTATAAAAAATAAAATACTCTGAAGTATCGGATCAAAACCAAACGGTTAATGGTTCACTCGATCTAAGTTGAACAGCTAGATGGCGAACTATGTATTCTATGGGGAAGGAAAGTATAGAAACATTTCCCGATATTGAAAGCTCGTATGCGGGAAGGGCTGGTAGTTTGACATCTGACAAGGTTAGAGCTGGTAGTTTGACACCTGACAAGGGTACAAGGCGCCAGAAAATTTCAGATGATGTTTAGTGTAGTTTATTGGGACATAAAAAGCAGGCCATTACAAGAGCAAAGAGATACATCGTCTTGTATTAAAATTCTATAATATTATTTATTTATAAAAATTAAGGACACTAAGGGTCTATTAAATAAGGAAAAAGTTTACCTAAGGTTGTAATTTTAAAATGTAGAATTAAAGATGCACCTCAAAAATTTATTGAAAAAGGTTATTTTGATGTTGAAAAATCCTCTAATCGATGATTTCGACATCAAGATGTATGAATATGAAAACAAAACAAAAAAAAAAGATTTTGAGTCTAAAAAATAGTGCATCTTGCAACACATTATTTGGACCGTCCATTTTCAAAATTTTCTATAATATATAAAAATAGATTTTGAGACACTCCAAAGAAAGTTCTATACCAAAATTATATATTATACTAAAATTTGGAGGTGCACCATAATTGGATTGTTTAAGGTTGCAATCCTATAGAAACTACACCCATTAAAAGAAATTTGGTTCTTTTATGTGAACAACTAGTACGTAGGACCGTGGTTTCATGTGATGCACTTCAAATATCACCCAAACTGCAGTTCTAATGCTGAAAATACTTGTAAATTTATCATTTGAAAATCATGGATCATGTGCTGCACTTCAAATATCACCCAAACTGCAGTTTTAATGCTGAAATACTTGTAAATTTATCATTTCGAGAATTGTGGATCTCTAATGCTAAGAAAGACTTCGAGCCTTAAAATGGTATATCTAGAAACATGTTTTTCTAGCCCTTCATTCGAATGGTCATTAATCTGCTGGACCAGCAATTTTCAACCTGGTTTTCGCCAAATATAAGAAAGCCTCGAGCCTACGGAAACCACGCCCTATGTAGAATGCATGGTTGGCTCGGAGTGCAGCAACGCATATCAAATTTAACTTACTAGGGAAGGTCGTGAAGAGAACGTTGTGTTAGGGCTAATCGCAATCAAATTTAACTTATAGGGAAGGTCGTGAAGAGAACGTTGTGTTGGGGTTAATATAAAAAAGGTTGTAACCCGGTGTTGGTCCTACCTAAACAAGGTCCTGAGAGGGGTGGGCTAGAAACAATCTTAACTTTTTCCTTCTACACAGAGAGGGGTCGGCTGGAAACAATCTTAACTTTTTCCTTATACACAAAGAGAGGGGTGGGCTGGAAACAATCCTAACTTTTTCCTTATACACAAAGTGGCTGCTCTCAGAACTCAAACCTGTGCTCTTGCGCTGGCTACCTGAGCCTTTTACCGTCACACCAAGTGACGGCCCTGTGTTTAGGCTAATATTTTGAACAAAATCAAACTTATTGTGTTTTTTGTACTTTAAGGGGTCGTTTGGATACCTGGAAATATATAGTCTGTGAAATATATTACTGACGTAATGCATTACTGCGTAATACGTTACCTGTAAATGGATTGTTACTGTTTGGGTAGTAATTAGATGCAATTTAGGAAATACATTCCTACTGTTTGGCTATGTATGGAAGAAATATGAGAAATACATTACCAACATTTTACGGGCACTTGCCTATAAACTATCATTTCTTTCTTTTTTGGTCACAAAATTCCATTGAAATGTGGAATTAAAGTCATTATCACACCATTCCAAAAAGATTTTCTAATAATTACATCATCACCATTCCAAAAATATTTTCTAATAATAACTTGTATTATTTTAAAATCTTCATGACACCATTTCCTACTTATTTTGCATGCCTTTGGCACTTACATGGAATCGCATGTCTTCTAACATGATTAGACTTTGGTTTCAACATGATAAGTCATTGGAATAATATGATTGTAATAACATGGTTTTATTGTGATAGGCCTTATTTTTTTTTATTTGTTTATACAAGTCTTTCAAATGTCTTTTCTATATAATTTCAAATAAACAATAAGGTTATGATACCAAATTCAAAACTTTATGGCACAAATTAAAAAATAGGATGAAGTTTGATTAGTAAATTAGAAGGTTTGGTAATTGCAGTAGAAAATTTTGAGGCATTAGATGAGACTAAAGAGCTTTTACTAATGGGAAAAGTTTATATAAAGCTGAGGCTCTAAACGATCAAATTGGAGCCTACCTCAAAAATGTCACTAGAAGAGGTTGTTTTGATGCTCAAATATCCTCAAATTGATCATCTCGACATCACGATACATGGACATGAGAAAAAAATAAATTTCAAGTTTTGGAAATAGTGTATTTTGTAACCCATTTTTGGGCTGTCAATTTTCAAGATTTTTAGGTTTTCATAGATATGTCGATCTACACTATTTTTGAAACCTTAAACTTTATAAATAAAAATGAAAATATATTTTAAGGCTATTACAAAGATTTCCAGTATTGAATCGATACTATTTGAAGGTAGGCTCTAAATTGATTGTTTAGAGCCTAGGCTCTATATAAACCTCACCTTTATTAATGTCTTATGAGGATTATGTTGTGTGAAATTTTTATTATGATTGTGTTGTGTAATTTCTCATTGATTACTAATTATTATTTTTGTTTTTATGAATTTTGTTTTTATATGAGAGCTGACAGCTTCAGATGATGGCTACAACCCAAATTGGGGATAAAATGATATAGAAATGGATGTGCAAACACTTATAAGTGGATTTTAGAGAGAGAAAATAGAAATGGATGTGCGCAAGAGAGAGGGAGAATGACAGGGGAATGGATGGGCACTGGAGAGAGGGAGAATGGTGGGGTGAGCGCAGCAACATGGCTTCCCTGTGCAGTGCGATGCATATTTAAAAGGTGTACAGGGTCGGGTCTAAGGAGACCTGAACCTTGATAGAGGTTCGAGGCAGCTTGAGGGTTGCCCTGCGTTGTGGTTCGAGTGGGCCATGAGCCTTGGTGGGTGTGTGGGAGGTGGTGACCTTAGAGCCTCCACCTCGGTGTGCCGAGTCTTTTGTTTCAGAGGCCTGATGTGATAAAGAGTGGGGGGTGGCCTTACGACGACTCGTAGGAGCAATGACAGATGGACTGCCAGTTCCAAAAAGGAATGGACGACCTTTCGACTGCCCCAAGTAGTGGAACTGGCAAGTGACTTGCTGGTAATCGGGTGCATGAGGTGTGTGGTGGCTGCTATGTCACCCATGAAAGGTGCATTGGTGGAGGGTCCACCAATGCTAGGAGATGGGGAGTGAGGAACTTTTAGGTTCCTCCTCACACCAATCCAGGTGAGACCTGAGAGTGTGACACCGGGACAACACTCAGAAGGAAGGTCGGGAATGAGGCTCTTAGAACCTGTTCTCCAAGAAGACTCATGAGTAAGGGGATTAGAAAATCCCCAACTAGGATAAAGGGGTTGAACAACCCCAGCAACATGTGTGTGTGTTAAAGAAGTCGGAATGAAAAGAAAGGAAAGCCAAAAAAGGACGATCCAACTATGGGTAGCGTGTCCCTAATAGAGTCGCTAAGCTGGTTAGGTGCCTTGATCTCGCCCTCCGAGTCGGGATGACCTAGTGGCGTGGCTCTAAGTTTGCGTTAAGCTCGGGATAAGAGATCTCTCGGGAACCGTATAAAGAAGATGCATGTAGGAGTACCAACCGATCAGAGAGGAATTTGGTCGTGAGGCAAGACTTACCTCACGTGGGTCCGTAACACACTCGGGCTACTCACATGTGTGGCCTCTTAGATCACAAGGAATGACCTCTGGCCTGAAGCTGGTTCGAAATCACCTCCCTCGACCTATTGCTTCCTTCCTGTAACCACAAGCACACATTAGAGACATAGACAAGTGGGTCAGATGACTCCACCTTGTCATGGGATGAGCACACACACGTGTGTATACTCAAAAGGAAAATGGAAAGATAACATAGTAGAATCCCTGTCAATTCGACAACCTCACGATGTCTCCTTTACGAGGGACTCTCAATGCATATTTTACAGTAGAGAGAAAGGGAAATGGTTTAGATGGAGAAAAGACATTAGGGAGAAGAGACTTTTAGAGAGAAGAGAAAGAAATAGAAGAGGATAGAGAGAGAAAAAAAATGAAGGCTGGTTTGGCTTTCACCCAATTCTTCAAAAAGAGAGAAGAGAAAATAGAGAGAGAAAAGTGAGATGAAGGCTAGTCTTTCTTTCACCTATCTCTTTAGAGATAAAATGTATTTTTGAAAAGAGAAAAAAGAGGGATGAAGGCTAGTTTGGCTTTCACCTAGCTCTTTAGAGAGGGAAAGAAGAGAAATGG